ATAATTTAATACTCAAGTGCAATGTGTAGGAGGGATGTATGGATTACATGAACATTGAATTGCTCCGCCGCACCGTTACCCCGACTCCTTCTCCTCTTCCTCCTCTTTCTCCTTTCAGATTTCTTCGTCGTACATGCCTGCAACAATATATGCATACATGATTAATTACGCATGGTTAATTACGCATCTCGCAATATTGCACTGATAATAATAAAAATTCCCGATAATAATTTCATATGACAGACAAATACGACAAAGAAAATATACGGTGTCATGAATCACAATTACATCTCGCATTCACGACGTTTCGTGAATTCGTGAATTAATGCCGCGAATCGACGTTCTTATAGCGAAAAAAAAACACATATCAAAGATAGAAGATATCAAAGATATAGAAACGAGTAAAAAAGAGAACGAGGGTAGAGGGAGAGAGAGGAGAGAGAGGTAATATGCAAAAAGTATGAATGATTGATGCATGCACTTGTATTAATCGAACTCGATCTAAGAAAAAATAAGTACACGTTGCTTCGATATGAATCGCCGTCATCAATCGCACGTGTTGCTAATTATATAACTATTCGTAGAGAACGCTCGTGTTTAGTACTCTGTAATCATTATGCATTTTGAAAAATAATGGAAAAATATTAAGTATTGCCGTCCGAAAAAGGGTGCAGCAATGACGCAAAAGCGCATAAATAAACGACAAGATCGCCCCTGAAACTAACGTAACGGAAATACTTACTAAATATTCCATTCTCTACGATAAACGATAATTCATGTGTATATGTGTGTATGTGTGTGATTCCATTATTATATATCACTCCAATATTTTCTTATTCAACGAATACGTCGAATGCGCCGAACGGAGTAGCCGCCATGATGTGCGCGCGAATTGTTTACAGTGAAGTTAGTTGCGAGGAATGCTCCTATGACCTCTGCACGTCGCGGCGCGGCGCCACTTTCTCTTTTGAATGTCGGCGTTTGAAACGAAGTCATTACCGCTACGAAATATTTGAAACTTTTCAATACATTTAATTAGAATATTCTGTTTCTTGTACACCAAATTAATTTCAATAAACTCTCTTATCGTAGTAAATAAGTAAAATTTGTTTTATGCAAATAATTATTTGGAATAAGTGCTTTAAAAATATTACATATTATTGAATTAATTTTTTACTTTACCTATACTATTTCTAATCTATACGTGCATCTTGATTTACGAGATATTATTATGAGATTTATGAGAACTAATTTAATTATATATGTATATTATATGTATTATATGTAGTTTAATCGTTACATCTAAATACATAAATCATTATTGATTTATGATCGTATAATTAATAATTTCAAAATTAATAGTTGCATAATATTGATAATTCATCACAAGTACATGTTTTTTTAAAGTAATTTAATTAGACGATGTTATTACAAAACGAGCAATGATACTCGTGTGATAAAGAAAGCAGTTATTACGTTGTTGCAGAAAATTATGAGATAAGCCAATTGCGCCTGAATGAATAAAAAGATGTTGCGCCAATTTAACTTGAATAATAAGAATAAAATAATAAAGCAGTATACGTGTAGGTAATTTAATGCGTACAATAAATTAATAATTAATAAACAATAATTAGCATTATTGTTATTAATTACTTACAATAAAAACAGTAGTAATTAAATAATTAATTCAAGCTTATTGCGTAATGCTAATTTTTTGAAATTTATTATTTAATTTACTATTACAATTATCAAATAAGCATTATTTGTAAAAATTTAAATACACGATTAAAATTTACGAGCACGTATAATAAAATAGCAATGAGAGTTTTTATTTAATTACGAGGGGGTAATCACTCAGAAAATATATGTACACCTGGACTTCTGACTTCAAGACTTCACCGGACTTCCCGGACTTCATCGGACTACACTGGAATTCACTGAACTACATCGGAATTTATCGGACTACACCGGATTTTATGGGACTTCACTAGACTTCTTTTATGAATATAGTTACCACTTTTCACATCTTTGTCTCAAAACACCAACAAAATTTTTCAACAAACATCCAGACAAATATTAATATCCGGACAAAGGCGAAACTTTCTAAAAACTCGATCAAAACTGATGATCTTTTTTTTAGGAATTGGAACAGACACGACCTTCTTTTTAGAAATTGATTTACATTTTCATCGGACTTCAATGGAATTCAACGGAATTCAACGGAATTCTGACAGATTGTACACCAGAATTCAAAAGTGGTTACCCCCTCGTTTAATTATTAGATTTTCATAAGCGTGCTTGAGTACAATCAGTTCTTCAATGTACATAAATTGTCTGCAGATATGACGAAAATGTATGCTGATTTGCGGAAGTTATATTTCTCGTTTTATTACGTTGCAAAAAAGTGGATACGAGTCTCTGTCGTCACATCTCTTACCTTATCTATAAAATGCTTTCTCTCTCTCATTTCCACTTTATCAATGATATATAAAAACATTCCAAGTCCGTAACATACAAGCTAGGTCAGTAACATTGTAAATTGCAATCACTTCGATTTGCGATACGTAATATACTTTTACGTAATATACATATACCAATATAAAAATGTCGTAAAGATTATTTGAATTATGTTTCTATTAGTCTTTGATAATAATAAGTTTATACCTATTAATTGACATTATATTTTATAATCTTGATCTCGATGATTAATTTCCAAAATATCCAAGACAGCTTGAAAAAGATAAAGATTAAGATTTTATTATTATTGTGCACAAGAAAAAGAAGTGAGATAAAAATTGTATGATTCACGTTTTCCATTCGTAATTACGCAATCTGTGTAATATGATTGCAACTTCATTCATATATAACATTTGAAATGCATCTTTATTTTTCTTACTTTAGAAATAAATATTTACGCACTTCTGCATGACAGCGAAATATCCAATATGTTGCAATTCATTAGTAAGCTCTTTATTAATCGTTGCATTCTGTTAAACGTAGATAATGACATTAGTAAAATTTTATTTCGATATCTTTGAATAAAATTTTAGCTCGTATCGATACTATTTGTCAGTTTCTTATTTATAATTTCGTTTTTTCTCCAATAACCAAATATATAATAACCAATAATAGATTGAAAAGAATTGGAAAAATTAGCACGTTAACTCTCTTAGTTTTAAAATATTAAACTAAAAGAAATAAATCTCTTATGGACTTCATGTTCTTAATTCCACTGGATTATTAACCCTTACTTGCCACACTTCTGTGGCGTGACGTGCTTGACACACTGGGGTAGATATAGTGCATTATGTACAATTTTTCTCAGGGTTACATACTTTAAATTAACGAAAAGTGGGCCTGGGATGTGTTACACCCCAGTGTGTCAAACAAGGGTTAATATGAGTAAAAATTCCATAACAGCCCGGTAAAAAATTGTTCATATAAGAACATGTATGTTTAATAATACATATAAGAACATGTATATTTAATAATACATATAAACATATATAAAAATATATAATTATATACAATTATTTATTATAATTATATGTGTAATATGTCCATATATATCCATATATGTTTTTTTGCTTTGTAAAATTAGTGTAAGTTTGGTACAAGAAAAATGATAATAAATAAAAAAAATAAGAAATTATTTTACAAAAAAAAGAAACATATAAATATGTATAAACATATTACTCATATAATTATAAATAATTATACATAATTATATATTTTTATATATGCTTATATGTATTTACATATGTTCTTATATGAAAAATTTTTTACCGGGAATAATCATGGGGAATCATTATAATTGACGTCATAATATTCGTATAACGATTGACGTCAAAAAAATAGTACATCAAGAAAGAGCTCTTGACTATACTATCTTCTCTTGAACCTCTTTCCAAGAAAAGGAGGAAGAAGATAAAGAAATGATTATACTCGGAAGAAGTTAGCCTTTTCAGGAGAAGCCTGTACTACGTTGAACGATTCTTCTTATGACACAGATTTAGATAATACATGTTAAAAATATAAAATAATCCTATAAATGATTCTATCTTTCTAAAACATGTAGGTTTTTAAGCTGGCTTGGTAAATAATTATAAGATGTTTAACTGAAATCAGCAATAAATATTACTAAGCACATTATGTATTTTTTAAAAATCTGTAAATTTTCCGATGGATTTGTATTGATATTACATCATTTTTGATCTTCGTTTTTTCTTGAATTAAAATATAGATTGATTATTTAACATTAAAATGTGTATATAATTTAAAAGTTTTTTACGATAAACGAGAGATTTGATAAAAAACAAATAATGTTCTCAAAAATGTTTTAAATAAATGCAAAGAAACTATAAAAACAGTTCATTCTATTTTTATTGTTTCTTTTCTGGTATCGTTAAGTGAGAATGGAGATAAAATTTAATTGAAAACGATGACATAATGTACGATAATAATACATAATAATATTGTAATAATATAATAATATATAATTTGCTAATTTTATTACAATATTGCAATATTTGCAATAATTTATAAGCGAGCAAAAAGGGTAGAATTACAAAAATACTTTATAAAATATAATAAGTAAGGTTTTTGAGATTTACATGTTAAAAATTCGTAGACACAAAGAGAGATAAATGAAAAGTTTTGTTGATTACTGAAATGAATTTGCAATAAACCCAGAGCACTCACTGAATACGCGCTGCAATTCTTTTTTTATAACAGAGATATATCCCCTTGATGTACTTTGATTTCTTGAAGCATATGTCGACTGCAAGAAACATGTTTATAATTTTGCACGATTATCGTATTAACAAGAACAACACATCCCAATTATACGTAAAACGCGTAAATGATAATAACTGCGTAAGTGATCTGCGTAAGTAGTCTGCTGGTGGTCATGGTAAACCCATACACGTAATGCTTTTGTTTCCGCGAAAGGAGGGGAATCTCTTATAAATTGACTGTCCATCGTAAGCGTGTCTCAATTAGTTCACGAAGAGCATAAAGTTCACACGATTCACTATATCGTTTAAGTTAAAGTAACAGTATTGAATCAAGTATTGAACTTAGTTAACGTGCGCAAACGCTTCAAGAATCCTAAGTTTAACATCCGGAAGTCTTCTTCAAAGTGTAAGTAGAAAATTTTTTATTCCATATTATAGATATATTAAATTTATTTTAACAAATAAAATTATTAAATAATATTAAAGTAATAATAATATAATAAAATAATTAACGAATTTATATAAATAAAAAATAATTTATTAGATATACAATATGTATCTATTCTAATCATGTTCTATTATACACTGTTGCATATGATTGCACATTGTTGCAAAGTAAACGCCGCGCCGTTTACGTGATAACATATGGATCTAGAGCCGGGACTAGGGAAATGATTATATTGAGACACTTGTCTCATGTAAAAATTTGAAGGAGCTAAAATGGCAATATAAATTTCTGTATATTTTAATTTATTTACTACTAACGATAACTCATCCGCCATTGAACTACTGATTAATATTATTTTTTATTGTACTTTACAAACCGTAAAAAAATATTTTTTGTTACGCATCTTTTTTTCTTTTGCTTTAAGCGTAAAATGTTTACTTCATGCTCTGGGTTATTCCATAGGTTTTTCCGCAAAGTCTCCTTAAGATTTCAATATTCTCTTCTAAGTGTTGAAGTAAATAATGCATCACAGAAGTTCGGTGTCGCTACGTCATCATTTTTACTAAGAATTGAAAATGACTGTAACGGATAAGTAAATAAGATAATGTTTAAAGAGATCACTCCGATTTCTGACACAAAGTAGTTGCTTTGACAAGGTAATAATGCACCTGATATGCAAATGATATGTAAATTAATACCCGAGATAGATTATAATTTAAATTTAAAAAATAACAAATTAAAATCTTAAAATTGATATTTTTTATATTTATATTGTCAATAAAATACTATTGGTTACATAATATTTTTAATAATTACAATAAAGTATTTATAAATATTAATTCTTAGAAATATTATCACGCCAAAGTGACTACTTTGTGACAGAAATCGGAGCAATCCTTTTAAACACTTATCTATTCATTTGTTACAGTCATCTGTTTACGTGTTCAATTCTTAGTAAAAATTACGAGATACACCAAAATTCTAATGCAACGTGTATTATCATTATGCGTTTTCCCAAGAAACTGATTAATAACCAATTTCTTGAGTAAACATTTAAAAGATTTGAACATAGAAACGTAGAAACTAGTTCTATTGATAAAATATATTGCATCAGATTTTACTGGCTCTTAATTCCCGATTTTATTTTTATAAATTTATTTCTTTTATTACAAAAAATTAGTAATCGAAATATGTTAAGTAGAAAAAAGAGAAAAATTTTAGAGGTGACAAAAACGCCGATTTCTTTTACAATTTGTATTACTGCATATACATATGTATATTTATATTTAATTATTATATTATTATTATTATTACTGTCTATGTTCTAGTAAAAATAAATAATTCTTTTTAATGTATTTTTTTGTTATAATTTAATCATTCCTAAAAGCTATATATATAATATATTATAATTTCTTTTATTTTTCTTTTTACAGTTTCTGTTAAACAGATTTAACAGTAATATCTGGATTAGGAAACATTTAAACTTTGAGTGGACTTCTAAAAGACACTTTAAGCACTCGAATGTCGACATCGCAAAATTTGCAACCGCCTACACTGATAATTACAAACAGTGAGGAGGAGATAATAACAACAGAGGAGGAGAATTCGTCATTGAATAATAATGCGATAAACGTCACTTTACTCAAAATCGAGGAAGACAAATATAGCGGTCTCTCGAGCATCTTTGACTCTTCTATTGACAGTTCTGACGAATCGAATAAATTTTCGGACGAACGCAAGGAATTCGTAACAAAATGCAAACAAGAATTAAACAGCAGCAAATTACCAGAACACTTCGAACAGTGGAAAATCGAGAAGCAATACGATCACTTAATAAAAAATATCGGCAAATACTTCCCGAACATACCCGACTCCTTGAGATACGTCTTGCCAGCGATCTTCGAAAATGGAGACTGTGGACGAGAAGCAAATGCGAAACCGGATTGGCTGATCATGGATAAATTTTATCGCGGACAGCGCTTTGCCCAGCGTTATTTCAGCATGATTGCCATAAGCAACTTGATGGGTCTGATGCAGATATTTAGCTTTTCGGACGGACTAAAACCGCTGATCCTCAGTCAGAAGTCAAACACTCCGTACCGCGCCTTCGAGAGGTATCTCAGGACGATCAAGACCTTCAGGAACTGGTACACGAGCGATCCTTGGTGCGAAGGAACGCCAGCCTATCGCGATATCCAGAGAGTGCGAAAGTTACACTGCGCCATGAGACGGAAATTGTGTGGAAAAAACTTCGAGGAGATCGACCAAGGCAGTAAGATTCAAAACGCGTGGTGTCCTGTACTGGGAAAGATCACGAAAGACTTCGCGGATTCGTGCCCGATGGCGAAGAACCAGCAGTGTCCTTACACGATGACGAGAACGAGAGGCCTGAACCAGGGCGACATGTCAGGCACGCAGTTCGCTAGCATGGGTCTGATAGTGCTTTATCCGGAGCAGTTCGGAATACACGACGCTAGCGACGAGGATCTGGAGGCTTTCTGTCACCTCTGGCGCGGGCTGGGCTACCTGCTGGGCATCGAAGATCACTACAACTTCTGCCGCGGTAGTTTGAAGGACGTGCGCCAGCGAACTGAAGACTTCATCGAGCACTGGGTAAAACCGAACTTCCGCACGGTGACGCCGGAGTGGGAGCACATGACCATGTGTCTCAATGAGGGAGTGGGCTATATCGCTCATTTAAACAACTACAAAGTGCTACTGCTCCGACTCTGTGACATATTTGGATTCAGCATGCCTCGCCTGTACGATTCCTTTAGTCTACCGGAGAGAATGCTTTACATGCTGCAAAAATACTTATTCTCTTACATTGTGAAACTACCTGGTATCTTCTCTATCATGAATGCAGTGTTAAATTCGTATCTGGATCAGGCAGCAGATTTTGGATACAGTAAACGTGCCGAACTTAAAAAGAGATCACTCAAAAAGATCTCAAAGATTGTATACATTTAAATTGTTTGATTTACAATAGATCTGTATTTAATTTCTGTGACGTTTTAGCTATGCACAGATTTTGATAATCGTATGAATTCTGACAAGTTAACAAAAGATATACTTTTTTATTACTGTAACTTTTGATTAGATATTTTATTTATTTATTGTACATGACAGTATCAAAAAGTATATTATATTAATCTCAAAAAATATTTAAAAATTATGCCAAAAAATATCATAAAAGTAAAATTTTGTGTGGAAATGTTAATGAGAGCCGATTATGAAGAGAGGCGGATCATATAAGTATTTCCTGAGTATTGTGTATTTTGTATTGAATAGGAAAGAAATGAATATATTTATTGATTAAGAAAAATGTTTAATGTAAAATATTTAATTTATTTAATTTATTTAATTTATTATCTCAGTGTAATATTGTAATTTGTAATCTTAAAGCCTTTTTTTTAAATTTTCTTAATTGTTATATATTTAATTTATTTTACTTTAAAAATTTTATTTTTAAAAGTATAATTTATTCTAATTTTACTTTAAAAATAAAATTTGTTATAATAGATATAAAAATTATATTATTTTATTTATTGTTTGTAATTATATTTATTATATATTATTATTATATTTATTAAATTCTAGAGATTTTATGCATATTAACTATTTATTTAAATACTATATATTAAGTATAGAGAGAATAGTATTTATTTGTATTTATAATCTATTATTTTTATATACAACATAAATTATTACTTCTATGTAATAAATTCAATAATTTTGGATAATAAATTATTTATTTTTATTACTTTGTTTAATTCTTCTTTTTCTATACCCATCCTTCATAACTTTTAAAAATAATCTGACATCAATGCGTTATGTTACTTCTACGATCTTCTACCATCTCTTTAATTATCACGCTTTGATGAAGTGAACTTTGACTTGTATGTACATGATAAGACGTAGATGTAGACATGAATGTAGACATTAGTATGATAATAATAAAAAACAGCTACCTTTATTTTCGTATTGAAGATTGCTCTTAAAAAAGTATTGATTTCATAAACTCACAATTATGTAATCCTCAAATAAATTGTCATTCAATAATTGCATCAAAATTACATTAAATTATATTATTTCTAACTTTTTTAAATTCCATATTCTTAATATTCCTTTGATTGTATTTTAGCTTTCTTATATATATTTTATCTTGCATCTTTGTTGTTTTTATTTTTTAATTTTTAGTATTATTTATTATAAATTTTCTAGTTTCAATTTCCTTGAGTTGTAATAATTTTTTTTATTATTCTTAATTTCTTTGTTTTATTCTTAATTTTTTTTTACGATTACCATATACATATATATGAATATGTAAATTTTTTTCTTTCTGTATATCTTCATTTCATATAAATTTAATGTAAGTCTACAATTAATAAAACAAAGTAAATTAAAAAATAATTTAATACACATTTATTCCATCATACGGAATACTTTACAAATTACATGATAAAAAAATGGTCGTGAAAGATAGGTATCGTGGTGGTGGTGAGTTGTGGTGGTGAGTGGTGGTGGGTGGTGGTTGTGGGTGGTGGTGGTGGGTGGTGGATGGTGGTTGATGGTGGTGTTGAGTGGTGAAGGTGGGTAATGGTGGGACAAAGAAAATTTTTATTTTAAAAATCACATGATATAAAAAATTTAAAAAAAAATTTTTTACTTTAAAAATTACATGATATAAAAAATGGTCGCGAAGAGTAGGTGTGGTGGTGGTGGTTGTGGGTGGTGGTACTGTTGGTGGTTGTAGTTGGTGGTGTGGGTGGTGGTTGTGAGTGGTGATGGTGGATGGTGGTTGGTGGTGGTGGTGGGTGTTGATGGTGGGTGATGGTTGGTCAAAAAAAATTTTTATTTAAAAATCGAAAAATATAAAAAATTGTTTGAGGTCAAGTCAGTCATATACATTTTTCGATTCTTGACATAAGAAATTTTTTAAAAAATTTTTATTGCAAAAATCGAAAAATATAAAAAATCATCTGAGGTCAAGTCAGTCATAATTTTATACATAGTCATATTCATAGTCATTTTATATTCTTCGATGTTTGCAAAAAAAATTTTTCGAAAAATTTCCCGTGTCAAAAATTGAAAAATCCATGAAATGACCATGACTGACTTGACCATAGACGATTTTTTATATTTTTCGATTTCTGCAATAAAAATTTTCTCGACAAATATCTCAGGTCAAAAATCGATAAATGACCATGTAGGAGTTGACTTAGATCGATTTTCTATATTTTTCGATTTCTGCAATAAAAATTTTTCATAAAAGTTTCTCATGTCAAAAATCGAAGAATGACCATGTAGGAGTTGACCTAGGTCGATTTTTTATATTTTTCGATTTCTGCAATAAAAATTTTTCATTAAAGTTTCTCATGTCAAAAATCGAAGAATGACCATGTAGGAGTTGACCTGGGTCGATTTTTTATATTTTTCGATTTCTGCAATAAAAATTTTTCATAAAAGTTTCTCATGTCAAAAATCGAAGAATGACCATGTAGGAG